ATGTCAATCTTCAAGGTTTCGGGTCGACGCGAGTGCATTGACCCACCAGCAGCAGCCTGCTGCTGTCTCAACAGTTCAAACTGTTGAGCACCCTGTTCTCTCAACAACTCTGCTTGTTGAGAACCTTGTTGGTGAAGCAAGGCTACTTTCTCGCGTTCTGCGTCAAGTTCATTACGAATGAACTTGGCGATAGTAGCATGTTGGGCATCTCTATTGAGAGCCTCTAGCATGACGCTAACAGCATGGATGCCCATGGTTGAACCCATTGGTTCAACCGCATCCCATTCGACATCGCTCAAATGGGAGTAGCCGTCACGCGTAGCGTGAAAGCTTTGGTCATCTTCATCATCCAACATATTCATGTTAGATGTGAACGTGGTCCTTGGACGGACTACGAAGTGCTACCAGGTGTAACGGGCACCCTGAAGCTTGTACTGATGACAGTACAAGCTACTTATTCTGATAACAGAATAAGGCGGTGCCTCGTAACTTCACGTACACTCGTACGTGCAGAGGAAGACGGTAAGAAGAAGCGAGTACTTGGTTAGAGTAAAAAGTAGAACTGTATTTATAATAGTTAATGTCTGCAATAAATCACTATTTATCTTCATCTAACTATGTCTAAATACAAATGTGTAAATCAACTATCTGCTCACCACTCATTGCGTGCGTCTGTCGTGGCGCGTCTTCGTTGGTTGATATGAAGGCCTATATCAACCAATTAGGAACTACTCGTAAGTGCTACAGAATATTTGTCCTTATGACAATATTCTGAGAATAAAACTCTTATAGTTATATTCTATTAACAATTTCTTATAAATTGTTATGTAACGATTCACCACATTACATGTTGTATAGTAGTTTGCAACTGTGGTTCGGTTCCTAACTAAATTAGTCATATCAAAAGGCGAGCTCCAAAGCATGCTCCTTCCGATTTTTTAAGAAAGAGAGACGGCTAATTTGGTCAAAAGATTGTAATGAAGAATTTTAAGAGTATGCCAAGTATGATCGCGATGCAATATAATCAGAGCTTTGTACGTAGACGTTCTGCGCAATGATCGAACCTCGACCCGCCATAGAGCTCGTTCGACATCTCCGAAGACTGAAACAAAGGATCGATCCACTTAACAGACGGGTACGCAAGATGATCTTAATGCTAAACACCTTAACACGCATTAAAATATCTTCTCTGAGTGGAAGATGCTGAGAAAGTATAAGGTTGCACCTCCCATCATCAATTTTGTGTATTTGACATTACTACATGCGATCCAGTAATATTATACAGCCTTGGGCCTGATAAGATCATAGCTCAAGAATAAATGTAAGATGAAAGAAGTACAAGACTTGTGTGACGCTATATCTATCGAAAGAGCTGATGGATAGGAGAAGGCGAGTTATAATTTATAAATGGCCACGCAAACAAGCCGCGCTGTTCTCTAAAGAATAAGGGGTCGAGTTTAAACTTTCCAACAACCTTGAGGCGTAAATGAATAATACACTTTATCCGAGAGTGGCAATGTGAGATTTGATCAATCTACGCTCTTAAAACACGCAACATCGTTTTACCTCCATCAAAATTTAATCACACATGCTAGTGATGCATATCGAGGTGGGAAGGGTGATATTTATTCACCTTTCTCCAAGCACAACCGCGTAACTGTAGACCATGAACTCCGAATATCATTGTTCCTTCTACGCGTCAATACAGGCACTGCCAGCACGAACATGCCTTAAACGTGTGCCAACAAGGACCACAGTTCGTCATCTACAAATTAAACCAGCTCGCGGCGGTGAAGCGAATTAAGTTACGCTGGCAAAAGGCTCCGAAAAAAATATATAAAATTATTTAAAGCATAGAGGGCTCGTGCCCAAAAAAAAGACCACTCGCAGATCACACAATAATGCTCATGACCAAGATCGCAACGTCCTCCTACCACAAAATGCTTTTGCTTTGCATCTTCTACTTCAGTGGACCTGACTAACTTCATAGTCTTCAAGCCGAGGCCGACAAAGATATGTAACAGCTGACTGATACAGCCTAGCGCAGCTCACAAAAATCTGACCCTGGTTTTTGTTAACAGTAAAGATAGCAGCGACTTCGAGTGCGAAGATGCCATCAATACGCAGCCAGAGGTAAGCGCTGAGGATATAGTATTTGCAGTTCGAGCCGTGATGTTAGGTACCATCCAAACCAATCGAAACCTACGATGAGATGGCTAGGTTTCTGCATTAAAGCAGCTATTGCGCGATGAGGTTTAAAGTAGAACAGTAAAACTTACTCACTCGGACGATGATTCGAGAATATTAATCTGCACAAAAAGTTGTGCAATAATGTCGATCCGACTGATAAGAAAGCTTATTGGCCCACTCAAGAACGTCCGTTGTTTAGCACGTTAGCTTACACTGAGTACAATTGACGTAAGCGCCTTTAGTTCCATGTCCGCTGCCACGATTGCTTTTCCACTTACAGCCCACATAGGTCCTTCAACTTGAAATGCATCTTTACCTCGTACGTCATTGCCTCCGTTTAAAAATTGTAGCTTGAACACGAAGTTGATGCTTGGGATCATAAGATGTTAGCAGGAAGCGTAAAAGGCAAAACTTAACTCTCGGCGGAAGTGTTTATGCTTATCATGTTTTGTATCATGTCTCTGGGTTTGGCAATTAATCCTATGTTACGACTTTCGGGTCCCATCAACTCCACCATTCGATATTTTCATGCTCCATTCTTTTCTTGAGCTACATCATACAAGTCCGGGATGTCAGTGCCTGGCAGTACGATGCGAACGAACCAAACACACCAGTATTCGAAGTTTTTTCATTATTGCTTTTTGCTCTTTATGAGTCTCCATTTATCGACCTCCGGGATTGTTTGCCACATTAGCCCACTTGGGATATAAGCTTTATTTGCACTTCGTAGCATAGGCATTAACACAAATGTATATGGCCGCGTCACCCTCAACCAACAGGCCGCAGCCACATTTTTACCTCATAATACGAAGACGTGTTTGGCACACGGGAAAAGCGTACATATATTTTGCAACAACCAGATCTGAAAACACGAGTGACTCATAATGCGCTTATGAAATTAAAAGAATGAGAACAATACTAACCAGAATAGCTAATTGCAATGTGATGAATGCGTTCCTGCTACAACATATGTAAAGCCGAATATTTGTTGCACTAGAATCAAATCGGTGCCACTGATGGCGCACTAAGGCAAGAAAATCCTTTCTTATGTCGTAGCAACGAAATCACGAAGATTATTACGCATGTAGATAAAGCAGTTTGGTTTGATAGTGTAGCGAATTCTTGAAGAATTGTTTGTCGGAAACCTTAACCTTTTTAATCGCTCGTAATTTATCTGGATGTTGGCTGTAATAGTGAAACCTCGTGAAGAGGCTTTTAAGCCATCAAGTGACTACCAAAAGACATCCATCTTCTTCGAAGATTTTTATAGCCGCAATTCCATGATATGATAACGACTTCCATCGCATATTCTCCAGGGCTTATTAGATCATAGTTACAAGCATATTTAAGTGCCTCGATGTATTTCTTGGCAGAAAAATCGAAAATTGTCAAATAAGTATTGAATGTAGCAATGCACACACACCTGGGAAGATAAATCTGTTATTTTACGTTTTCGAACTTCCCAATGATGCATCTGTGTATATTTATGTATATCTGTATTTGTATTTGGATACCGAGTTTGACATTTGCGATGTTATACAAACAGGGTAATCATAGAATGTGGGATCCGCAGGATAAAGCTGCGGAACGGAGCCTTAGTCGTGCCCACGCCCGGTCCGATCGATTCGAGTTTTTGACAAGATTATTTTGTCTTTATCAATTTTGCCCATTATTTAGTCTTTTAAGTTCATGCAGTCCTCCCACTGATAAATTCCACGACAACTTCAAACCTCCTTTATTTCGTGTTTTGTGGCGTCCTTTGAGGTCGTGCTATGGTGGTTCTATCGTCACTAACTTATAACTGGTAACTAATAGCCATGAAGCGAGATGTAAGTTCCTAGATGGAGAATTTGAACCGAATTTGGTAGAGTAAACCTGTTCAATCCAAGCATCGAGGACGGTAGGTGTGGCGTTGGCACTGCAAATGTCATCCTGTAGGCTGCGGAGTAGATTAGACGCATGACGATGGGTTACCCGGGACAGCTAGTGCAAGTTACAGACACTTTCCAAGATGGGAATCTTCTCGCTCTTTATGTTCCTGTCTATAATTGTCTCCTCCTCTGCTTTAGCTCTTTTTATATAACCCTTCTCCCTTTATGATGTGCTTAGAATCTCTTAATCATTGAGCTCTGACTCAGCGCTTACGTCTTCATCAATAGAGTTGATTAGCTCATCAATGGAGGTCATCTAAAAAGTACACTGTGTTCCTAGTGAAGAACAACAACCTCAGCACACGACCAAGATGGCTACGTGTCTTTAATTATTTGGCAAATCCTAATTTGATAATTCAAACAAATTGTGAGGCCCCGTGTTAGTAATCTCTGAATCCATTATTCTGCTGATATTGGGTAAGTTTTAATAAGTGTGTGGAAGAGAAGTGACTGGTTCTAAGTAAGGTTTTCTCTTTTAAATTGTATAATTACTGAATTACATGTGGTGTGTCTGGTAAATATTTGATCCGTACAACTCTTGGAAAAATTTGTTTTTGTGGAATTTTCTTCGTAGAATTCCCTTCGTAGAATTCCCTCATACGACACCACCTAGACCCGATAACTAATAGCCTCTGTTATCTTATAGAAACAGCGTTTACTGAGACTAAAAGTTAGAAGAGGGAGAACTGCACATACAAAACAGAATTGGCGGATCAGCACCTTATGGTATTTAGCAAAAAATCACATTTCTGAGGGATGGAATATGATTAGCCGGGTTCATCTGCATATACAACCAATCGCTCGTCGCCCTACGTCAGTTCCCTCTTCTTTTCAGCCAATCCTAGCGCATCTATTGCAAACGACCCGCCCGAATCTCAAATGCTCCAGCGTCGTAACAACGCGGCGCGGCCGCCTGGTTCCAGCCACTTGGTACGTGCACCAACAGACCCGTCAATTGATTGAATTTCCACTGCACGACCTCACAGTACCTTTGTCTTTATGTGATTGTAGCACTGGGTGCAGTTGTGTCAATCCGGTCAGGACCTTTCCGGTTTGCAGGGCCAAATCCCTCGTCGGGCGATTTCCATCGAAGAAGTTGGTGAACACAACACTGAGAGCGACTGCTGGAGCGTATTAGATGGTCGTGTGTACAACATGACGCCGTACCTCAAGTACCACCCTGGTGGAGTCGCAGAGCTCATGCTGGCGGCAGGAGGTGACTGTTCAAACCTCTTTTATGAAAATCACCCGTGGGTTAATGGCCACAATATGCTGGAAAAATGCTACATTGGACAACTGGATCGAGAATCAATGACGATTGTAGCCGGTTCTGAGACGTCCAAGTTTGCGCTACACAAGACTCAGTGGCGGTTGTTTAAGCTCGTGTCAAAGCAGACGGTCAGTCAACAGACTGTCAAATTTACGTTTGAGTTGCCTGATAGAAAGCTGTTGGGATTAGAAATGCCTGGACAGCATTTAAAAGTGCGCGCTACGATAAATGGTCGGATAATTGAACGGCCGTTCACTCCAACGTCTAGCTTCGCCCAACCAGCGACTTTTGACTTGATTGTCAAAGTGTACCCAGACGGTATCATGAGCACCTATCTGAACAAATTGAAGGTTGGCGAGAGCGTTGAAATGATTGGGCCACAGGGAGCAATTGGCTACCCGGAAGCTGGCGTTGTAACTGCCAGAGGCCAGCTGAAGCTGACGGATGTGCGTCATGTTGTGATGGTTGCTGCCGGTACGGGAATCACACCGATGATGCAGCTCATCCGTGCAATTGTGGAGAATAGGAAGGACAGGGCCAAGATCACGTTGGTGGACTGTAACCACTCACTGGAGCACGTAATTGCGCGCACACAGTTAGAGCCGCTGGCTAGTATGTTTCAGGAGCGAGTAAAGGTTCACCACGTGCTTCGTGAAGCCAGCGATGATGACATGCGCGAATTGGGATCGTTACGAACTGGCAAGCGACTAGACAAGGAAATGCTTGCTGAGTTATTGCCGAAACCATCATCTGGTGTGGCCGCATTTCATTGTGGCCCGCCTGCCTTCGATGATGCTGTTAGTGTCATGTTGAAGGATATCGGCTACAAGGATACTCAGGTTTTCCAGTTTTAGGTTAATGTCTCCGCTAATCCTAGATTAAATGAATGGCGGGTCTAACTTGCTGTGTTGCGATATCACCGTAACTGTTGAAGGCGTGCAGCTTCAAGTGTCAATATCGGCGAATCAATGCTACTGATACGATTCAAAAATGGATCATCTTTTTGGAAGTAGCGTGGCAAATTGTACGTTGTAGTGGCCACGGATTCACGAAAAAAACATGTATGCATGCCAGGATCTGTCGTTCTATGATCTGGTCGAGTTTGCGCTTTAGCTGCGTGTGACTATCACAGAGCTATTGCTTGAGCGCCCGTGTTGCGTTCGATGTCTTCTGTGTATCCTTATCAGGTACTTGTGAATATTTTTGCAGCGAAATGAAAGGCAAGTTGATGTTGAGATGGGATGACTGAATGCTCGTACAAGTTTTCAGGGAGCTGCGTAATGCAGAATAAGGAAAGGTTAATTTGGATATACCACGGGTAAAGTTTGCTGGTGCGTTATAGTTACCTCTAAGCACGTGCTTTTGAATCGTTGATAGCTCAAGAATATCATACATCAAATTGATGTGATATCAATATCATGTGGCGCATTTTAAACACCAAAACACTAATAACGTCACACTGCAAGTGAAGTCATTACTAAGTCCAATTTTCGCTGAGGAGTAACTCTTCAATGAGGTTTTATCGAATAGATAGTCTACTGGTTTGGTAATTACGCATGCCATTAGCTGGATCTTATCAGTACATGCATAAATAGCGATCAATCACAATGCGAGTGTTGTGTTTGTGTGACAAGGACAAATCTAACCTGCGAACACGTTGCGAACGAAAACAACGATATTCGTTGCTGACGTAGTCGGCCTGTGGAGAATAACAACCGTTCAAGTACTTCGAAAAGGACATCGCTGCTTAAAAGTGGCAGGTCGTAGTAAGAGATGGGGGCCTACACGCTAATGCAATTCTCATATAAAAACATCTTAAGCTTTGCTACAGAACTACGACTCTATCAACTGGGCTGATGTAGCTGAAAAAATACGAATGTCGCTTTATGGATAAGTGGTACTTGTTAAGACTTTTACGCTAATAAATGTATAGATGTTTTGTCATACCACTTTTTTTATTATTACTATTATTTATCAAACTAACAGTGTATGGTTGAGAGTTTGACTAGGTCGGTCGCCTTCCAAAGAGTAACAGAGGTGTACAAAGGTAAGCTTATACTGGATTGATAAATGTATTGTAGAGTGGAAAGTGTTTTTTGACTGTGCGGCATTCGTGAATGATTATACTTCAAAATCATGCGCTATGTGATTTAGCCGTATTGAAGCCGAATAAAACCACAATTATGAGACCTTCTGATGAAGACATTTTACCACAATAATATGACCTAGCTGATGCAGCCATTTTAGCAAATGCATCTTTGACGAGTTTGAAAAATACCAATACAGAAGAGGTGTAGGTTAAGCCCTAACATTCCATATAAATATCCGTATGCATACAAACCGAAATTGGTACAATCGTTGATCAAGATAGTGGTATGAACCGATGAGCAAAAGCTCATTGGAATGGTCAATATGGGAATGATTCGTTCATTTGACTACGTGGCTGACACACAAGCATGTCAAACAGCTCATAAAGGTACAAATCGAAGCTGTGTAAGAAGCACATTTATATTAAGTGTCGAACATAAAATTTATTGCACTTTAACATACAGAGCTAATGAAAAAAATTAACAACCAACATCTGCACACCTTACGTCTAAAAATGTGAGACACACTGAATACGTTTGTTTGAAATACTGTCAAATTTTAATACGAGCCCGAAGAGTGAAGCTATTAGTGAGTGTGCGCAAGGTAACATGCAATTTTGAAATCGTATCAATTCGTCTGTGTGTCTGTCTGTCTGTAAACAGAGCGGCCAGGTGTAGCTTACATACACCAAGTGCGACCTAGCCTTTCCCGACCACATTGGTATAGATGCCAAGGACTCGGCTAGTTAAGACAAAACATCATTAGTAATACGTTTGCTCTACTTTTGCTATTCCACAACCTTTACCCTACTGTCCTGTGGCTACATTTGCATTTACCTTACTCTGCCCCTTTACCTGGTTAATTACCTGGTAAACAATCGTTTCAATGATTGTTTGAACACTTGGAGTTGCAGCTGAAATGAATGGTATGACGACATCGCTGGCCTATCAAAATCGACTGGATGGTTGGGTTGCGTAGGATCGAGTTGTGTACGCCAGATAGTGAAGCGAGCTTAATTCACAATTGCGGTTTTTATCAGAGTTCACATTCGGTCTCAAATACCATTTTGGTAAGGTGAAGTGAAGCAACTTCACAACATCATTGCAAAGGATTCCTCTCCTTAAATTTCCAGACCCATCTCCAGCTGCTGAACGAAGGATTGCAAGTTATCGGTGTTGAACTGTACGAGTGGGGCTGCAGCACGCCCCCATTTAGCCGGCACAATAAGGATACCGGCACCCATCCATGAGCGCAGGATACCTTTGAAAATGTATGTAAACTATAATACAAACGAAGTACCGTTTCCATGCAAATTTAGAATTAATAACTCTTTATTTATAGCTCGTGCAATATGTTCAACACTTATTCGAGATGTATGAACGGTTGATTGTAGTTGGAACCGCGGGATGGACGTCGGCGCCGTTTTCATCGCCGCGGCCGTTGAAGTCCTCCTAGAATATATAGGCTTAAATATACGGTCGCGCGCGAAGACGTGTGCTTCAACGTTAAGTGAATATCTTTCTGCGCTCTAAGATCAGAACTTAGCAGAACTCCGTGGCGCACTCCGTTTGGACTCCAGGTCTATGGAGATCCTCAAAACTCGCAAAATGCTATACAGAAGCCCTTGTGTATGGCTTTGACATACTTCTTATTGTATTTATCGGGTAATCAAATAATGAGATCGTCTTTAACATTGCTCAACTCGCTACCTAACCCCCCCCAGCATTTACCCTTTAAACTGATTATTACCGGTTTACCGGGTAACGAAGGGTGTCTTGCGTTACCTTGCCAAGGCCTATGATAGACCCATACGTAGCCACTATTTAGGAAGGTCACTAGTGTGACGCACGCTTGTAATTAAATTTAAATTCGTCAAAGGTGGATATGATCACCTAAGCAAAAGCTAAACGCTCTTAAATAAATGACGATTGGGATGCCCAAGCATCTGTACGTGGTTGATACATACATTAATAGCATCAAATTCCTTCTTCATTGACTGCTGCTGTTGTATAGTGTTCGTATACACATCAATTCTCCAAACTAGATAACTATTGCAAGCCCGAATGAGGAAGGTAATAGTGACTGTGCGCAAGGTGGATGCCGAACTTTTAAATCGTACTACTTTGTCCGTCTGTCCGTCTGTAAAACGCGACTTAATGTACCTTACGCGTACTAAGTACGATCTAGCCTGTCTCTATCAATAGGTATACAGACATACCCGAAGTCGCTCTTTGACTAGGCCAATATTGTAGCGCACGCTTTTTGAACGCTTAAGACTGATTAAAGGTGGTAATGATCACATCGCATATGCCGGACGCTCACAAGCTTCTCTCCGCTTTGCATAGTACACCGCACTAAGTTATTTCAGACGTTTACAGAATCAGGCTACTTTTGAGTGAAAGCTGTTGCATAGTGTTTCGCATCTCGAATCAGTTTCCGAACTAAATCGCTTGTATCAATATTCGATCTCCAGAGATTGGTTTCATTTATTAAGGTAAGCTCCGATCTGCAGAACCTCTTCCCTCGGATCCGCATCTCGTCCCGCATGGTATGGGATGAATGACAAGCCGCTACCATCCTGCGCGTCCCGCACATCCCGCATTTATAATCACCATACTATATCAACTATTTTTATTTTTGTTCTACTATCGAATGATTTTTGGGGAAATAAGAGAGCGTAAATGATAGCGTCATCTATCTTACATGTATAAATTGTCCTCTTATGAACTTTGGCCCGAGTATTTATACAGGCATTATAGATGCTTGTAAAGATGGTTTGGTTGCCCCTAGCGCGGTCTAATGGACATCCTTGGCCAGTTAGAGCCACAGCCTCGCAACTCAAATTTACAGTGAAGGCGAGGATCTAATAATAGCACCTTAATTTCTTATACGCCTCGTCAGGAGGCTATAAAATTACACCAAACGTCACAATTGCTTTTGATCAATCCCAATAGCATAAAGCTTTGTTCACGGTCATGGTGCAAGACGTAGCGACTCTTAAACCTAACTTCTTTAAATTTTTATACTAACGGTACATTTTCGTGGTTACGTTCCCACTACATTTTATAGGAGCCCTGCATGCATGTATATGTCATCAACAGCACAATTATGATTGAGTAAAAAAGGCATTCTATTACATCTGTTGCAGCATGATAGCATTTGTCCTAGAGCGAAGCACTTTCCATTGCACTATCCTTTATTTAATTTGATAACCTCAGCACATATGGAGGCGACAACGTGTATGCAGATCTGGTCGTTCCAAAGTTTGTGTAGAGTAAACTGTTTAATAACCTCGTTTTGGAGTATCTTGCGCCCCGTATGTGCGGGACGGACCCCTTGTCGAGATTTTATAAATAGAGTGCTCATTTCGACCTAGAGATGACTGGATCGCACCCAGCCAACATCGGCACTGTATTCAAAATTCGTACCCATTATATTTGTTCGAGCAGTTTTAGTGGTTTAAAAAGCATAAATAATGCGGATCTTTCGCGTACAAAAAGCAATTAGGAAAGAAAGTATAAAAGTAATAAGTAACATACTTTATTAAATATATGAAAGGATAGAAATCAATAGTTGAATGTCTCGGGAACGAAGTAATTGACTGTCTTGCGATAAAGACAATCATTTCATTGAATAAAGAGCAGTAGAAATTCGTTGTTCAGATTTATAACAATTAATTGAGACATATTATAGTAAGCCGTAATTGCTAAAATAGTAGAGCTTTTCTCATTTGCAGAGATTCCTCATCTCGAGCATACGGGTAATAATTCGGGTGTGGCGAAAATGATGTATAAAATTTGGCAGCGGAAATCGTTATGTTTGCCTGTGATTGATGATTAGTGCATAGCATTTTAAAATAGTGCTTTGTCATCCGCTGAAGACTGCGCGGC